ACTCTTTATCAAATTATCCTAATTATATCACCTCGCAGTTCCACTCATGGATCCTTTCCCTGCCAACTATGCAAAAGATGTTTGGTTTCCTTCTTTCTCCTCTGACATGTCATCAGAGCCCCCTGCTCTCTACCCAAGATCCAGGCACTCTTCCTTTTATTCAAAATTCATCTCAAAGCCGACCTCCTCCAGGAAATTCATACCAGCAATTCTGTGAAGTCATATCTGTCTCACTAAACAAGACCATTTGAACCTTTGGTCTTCAACAAGGTTGAGAAACCAATAGGTGGTGATAAACTGGCAGTCTTTTTCCCTGGAATGTAAGCTCTGCCATGCTCAATATGACACCTGGCCTGTAATAATTCCATACATCTATGTTGTGCTTGAAAATCTCCAAAGAACTTTCTCTTGCACTGCTTCTTGTATGAGCTGGACAGCGTTAACAACCATATGGTACAGGTAGAGTGGATCATATTGTCCCATTTTCTTGCTAAGATAACTGACACTCTATGGTTTAAGAGGCTTGCAAAGGTCACACATTTAGTAGGGTCTGAGCCTTGAATGCCTGTTGACCTTCCACCATGCAGTCCAGTACTCTTTCTATTGACCCCAGCTGCCCTCTGTGGTATATGCATGGCCCATGGAAATGTCTGCCAAGTCACCATACCCATTGAATTTATTCTTGAGAATGGCTTATCAACCATGGGAGGGATGAAGATCAACACTTGCATTCTTTTTTTTTTTTAATAATTTTATTTATTTATTTATTTTCCCCCCAAAGCCCCAGTAGATAGTTGTATGTCATAGTTGCACATCCTTCTAGCTGCTGTATGTGGGACGTGGCCTCAGCGTGGCGGGAGAGGCGGTGCGTTGGTGCGCGCCCGGGATCTGAACCCGGGCCGCCAGCAGCGGAGTGTGCACACTTAACCGCTAAGCCACAGGGCCGGCCCCAGCACTTGCATTCTTTAATTTGTCTTTTCCTGAGCCCGTTATAATGATTTGCACTCCCATATACTTACTGACCAGCACCCTGCTAAGTGCGATGTTGTATTCATTTGCCAGTGCTGCCATAACAGATTACCTCAAACTTGGTGGCTTAAAACAACAGAAATTCATTCTCTCACAGTTCTGGAGGGCAGAAATCCAAAATCAGGGTGTCATCAGGGCCACAGTCGTTCTGAAGGCTCTAGGAAAGAATCCTTCCTAGCCCCTTCCAGCTTCTGGTGTTCCCCTGGCTTGGTGTTCCTTGGCTTGGGATGGTCTGACTCCATTCTGTACCCTTGTCTTCATGTGGGCTTTGCTCTGTGTGCCTGTGTGTCCTCTTCTGTCTGTCTAATCTCCTCTGCTTCCTTATTAGAACGACCTGTCATTGGATTTAGGGCCTACCTGGGTAATCAAGGATGATCTCATCTTGAGATCCTTAAGTTAGTGACATCTGCAAAGATCATTTTTCCATATAAGGGCACATTCACAGGTTTCGGGGGTTAGGACATGGACATATCTTTTAGGGACCACTGTTCAACTGACTACAGATGTGGATTACAGAAAGAGTAGGACACGGTTGCTGACTTCAAGAAGATTATAATGGAGTTCAGGAGGTAAGACACAGTGTTTGGAGACAATTTTCCATGGGTCACTCATTTCTCCATGTCTTACAAGTGATCACTGACTGCCCTTTGTTCTGGACTATTTTTTCAAGGGTATTTAAATAGCGAACAGATAGAGATAGTGTCTCGCTTTGGAGCAGTGGGCAGATATGCTTACTTCCCATTATAAAAGATTTGGTTACTCCTTGTGCACTGTTGATGAGAATGTAAAATAGCACAGCTGCTAGGGAAAACAGTATGGTGGTTCCTCAAAGAATTAAAAATGGAATTACCATATGACCCAGCAATTCCACTTCTGGGTATAGACACAAAAGAATGGAAAGCAGGGGTACAAAGAAATATTTGTACACCAATGTTCCCAGCAGCACTACCCACAATAGCTTAAAGGTGGAAGAAACTTATGGATGAATGGATAAACAAAATGCTGTATATCCATAAAACAGAATATTATGCAGCCTTAAAAAGAAATGAACTTTTGACACATGCTACAATATAGATGAAGCTTGAAGACATTATGCTGAGTGAAATAAGCCAGACACAAAAGGACAAATACTATATGATTCCACTCATATGAGGTACCTAGGGAAGTCAAATTCATAGAGACAGAAAGTACAAGGGTGGTTACCAGGGGCTGAGGGGAGGGGGAATGGGCAGTTAATGTTTAACGGGGACAGAGTTCCAGCTTTGCAAGATGGAAGGAGTTCTGGAGATGGATGGACAACAATGTGAATATTCTTAATACCACTGAACTGAACTTAAAAATGGTTAAAATGGCAAATTTTATGTTACTTATATTTTACCACAATTTTAAAAATTTTTAATAAAAAAAATAATTGGTTCCCTAAGCTCAGGGTTCTTCTCCTGAGTAGTGCAGCCATGTATCCTCATTGCCCCTGTGGGACTTGGGGACAAGGAGAATTGACACAAACACGCTGATGCTCTTGCTGCTTGCTGTGCTGTAAGACCAAGTCCTTTCTCTCTCACCCAGGAATCTCGGTGAATCTCATCTTCTAGAAGCAGTAAAACTGTGACACGCTAACTTGTTAGCTTGCAAGTCAGGTAACATCTCAGATGCCTCCCAGCCGTTGACACATACTATTGTATTTCACTCATCAAGTGGAAGTAGAACTGTATGTGCTGAGCCCCAGAGCCTACGCCCCAGCCCTGGAACACTCTGCTCAGTAGCCCTCACACACCACTCTCAGAAAATTGTGCATGTGATTCCTGGGAAAGACCACAGCAGTGGAGGGAATCTAAATGCAATTCAACTCAACACAATTTCATTATGTGCCTGAAAGAAGACACCGAAGATGACTAACAATGGATCTTGCTCTTAAGGAACTCACTGTCCAGAGGAGACGCAGATGCAGGACAGATAATTTAACAGAGTATGATGATCACAAAATATACCAAGTCCAGAGGCAGCATGGCAGAGAGTACAGCTCTAGGGAGAAAATCAAGGAAGATTCCATGGAAATCGGACTTTGAAAGATTTCAAAATTGGGAATGTTGCCAGGGTTATGGGGGACATATTCTAGGCACAATAAAAATTCCTTTGCAAAGATTCTGAGCTGGGAAACTGTGTGGCGAGTTCACCAAACATAGAAAGGCAGAGAAGGTAAGGAAGAAATAAAAGTCAAGTTAGGGAGGAATTAAATGATTTGTTTCCCATGCTATGGAGATTGGATTTTATCCTGAAAGCAGTGGTGAACCATTGAGGGATTTAAGCAAGGGAGTAAAACTATCAAAGACGGTTAGAGTAATATGGAGGGTAGCTTGGATGGGAATGAGGCAGGCAAGAAATGATGCGAATCTGATGTAGGGCAGATGCACTGGGTATGGAGAGAAAATACGTTTGAGATTTAGGAGATAGGCTCAGTAAGACTTGGTAAATGGTTGATGTGGGGGGAATGAAAGGAACCATGTAGCAAAGAACAGCCAATTTGCTAGTTCAAATTTGCTAGTTCAGTTGACTAGATGGATGGTGGTGCTACTAAGACTGATAACTAATGCAGCTAGAGAATGTAGGAGGATGAAGGGGGACTTACAGAATGTTCTCTTTTGGGTGGGCTAGCTGGGATTGGATAGTTTTGGACATGTTGGTATAGATCTCCGTAGGACATTCAGAATGAGACAGGCTGATGCAGAAACAGATGAGGTTAGGGCTTGCCTGGGGAGATGGTGTAGAGTTTGCATGGAAGAGGGCAGAGCCCTGATGGACACATGCATTCATGGGGCAGGCAGAGGAAGAGGGAAAGAGGGATGAGGAGGACTTTGGGGTGAGCGACACCCATCCCCATTGTTCCTTCTTCTAGGAAAGGGTGTTTCTGCTGGGTTGGGGGCCCATGGTCTACTGGTGCCTTCACTTAATCCTCTCCCACACCCTCCAGGCAAACCGTCTCTCTCCTGGACCTCACCATCTTCGCCCTAGCTTGTTCCTTCTCCATCCACCCCATGAACATGTTCAAGCCTCCTTTCTCTCAACCCCACCTCTCCAGCTCCATTTCCTTCTTCATTCTCTTTCCTCTCCATGTCTTAAAGTTCTCACCTCCCAGTGGCACCATATCCCTCTGTAGTCCAGCCTTTGCTTCAACGCTCTTTGGAAACTGCTCTCAGTAAGACCCCACGTTTAGTTCTTACCTTGCTCTTCTCTCCCCACTGACGGGTTGGTCTTTTCTGGAAAGTCTCTTGCCTCCTAGGTTATACAGCATTTTCGTGGTTCTCTGAGATCTACCTGTATGTTCCACTGTCTCCCTCCCAGGCCACCTCTGCCCACCCCTTCATTGGGGTCCCCATGTTTCACCCTTGTTCTGCTCCCCTCCCCTTCCCCTCCTCCTTTTTGCTCTTAACCACTATCCTAGATTCTGTTGAGAAAATAATATGAATATCATATAGAGAACCTATCTGTGTGTGTGTGTGCGCGTGTGTGTGTTTAAAGGACGCTTAATAACAGTATCACCCTCTCATTCTTCTCAAGGTAAAATCTCTGTGAATGGTGATACATTTGCATAATGGCTTTCCTTTGCGTATTTATATGGCCCCAGCTAGATCCTTTAGAATAAGGTTATTCCAGCATCATTAGGAACCTGCCCCACTGATAAGGAAAACTTAGGTAACTAGCTTCTTTGAAAACACAATGAATGCTTTTGCCTACTGCTGATACTGTAATCTTGGAATATCAAGAGACAAGACATCTTGTGTTAGGGTTTGATCAGAAAAGCAGAACGTCTATGAGTGGTATAAAAAAGAGATTTATTACAGGAGTTAGACCTTACACAATTGTGGGTGCTGAATTTTAGGGGAGAAGTCTCTGCAGAATCTTGCCTTTGCCTCGACTGTAAAGCCTGGAGTGACTACAGGTCAGTCAGCCTTGCAATTGGGAAGGGAAGGTGCATGCGGCAAGGGCCAGGACAACCCGGAAGCTTCGAGGAAGAACGGGCTCCGGTGAGGGGCAACCGGAAACCAGGAAACTAGCTGGGATAAGCAACTAACATCCACTCTAGCCTCACTGCTAAGGGTGATGTGCAGGGGAAGCTGGCGCCCTGCGCTGCAGAGCTGCACGTGCACCTGGCCCAGGGCCTGGAGAAGCTGCAGGAGGAGACTGGAGATGCTGCAGATGCTGCGGGTCCCGGTGCTGCCCACTGCCTGAAAGGGGAGCTAGAAGGTGAGCTACAACGTGCATGCGCTGCCCTGCTGGCTGGTGCCCTGCGCCCACCTTCAGAGAGTAAAAAATTACGGCTGCTGCTTTACGTCCATCTGCCAAATTTCACACAAAATGTCTCTCCGAGCCTATGTAAACCGGAAAGGGAAGTCTGGGAAATGTAGTTCCAGCTTAGCGAAATTGACTCAGTGTAAAGCTACCTCTGTGTAAAATAATCCTGGGGGTCGTCCTTGCTTGCTCCCTCTCCGTGTCCACCCACATCCAATGTATCAGCAAGTTCTGTCCGATTTACTGGCACAGTCACGTGTGCTCAGAAAGTGCTCAGTAATCTATAAATGTTAGCAATCATTACCTTTTATTTTTTTTACGAGAAGAAGAAATATGAGCACAGAGAAGTTAGGTAACTTTTCTGAAGTCACATAGCTGATAAGCAGCTGAGCCAGAAACGATTGCAGATTCATGCTTTCAACCACCACCCTATTCGAGTTTCCTGAGAAAGGCATTGTTTTTTCTGACATACGGTTGCTAAATAAAAATTTGAACACAAAAAATATGTACTTCATTTTAACTGAGCCCAGTTGTAGGAGGTAAGGGAATCTATGTTCAATGAGAGATCATGGAGGGAGAAAACAATATAGAAGCACGACATTGTTATTATTATTATTATTTTTTTTTGGTATAATTACTTGATCTTAAAACCACCAGAATGTCTGATATAAGGCAAGATTTTCAGGATGATCAGATACTGTTTAATCATCTTCCTGACGTGATTTCCACATTCGTCCACACATCACTGTTCACTGGAGTTTACTTCTATTCTCTCTGTCTTTTTGGTTCTATTACTATGGAAAGACAAATCTATTCACTACAGATGGACTCTCTTAGGTACAATGAGTGACACAGATATGCCAAGAATGTCTAATCTGGTTTTTTTATTAGACGGTGCCTTGCAAAAGAGAGAAACATACTCTCTCGTGCATAGAACAGCATTTTGAAAAATACATCCACTACTGTGGAATTTATGATAATATGCCAGACACCATTCAAGTTGTCCATTCAATAAAGGATTGCCAAGAAAATAGAAAGATTGCAGATGGGGAAGAGTAAAAGAACAAAAAGTATATGTAACTTTATTTTGGAAACAAGTTTTTAAATTTTTTTATTATTATTCATTATTTAATCACTTTTACTTTTATCAGCCACATTGAACAGGGATAGATTTTTTTTTTTTTTTTTTTTTTTGCAGGGAAACATTCATCCTGAGCTAACATTTGTTGCCAATCTTCCTCTTTTTTTTCCTTCTCCCCAAAGCCCCAGTACATGGTTGTATATCCTAGTTGTAAGTCCTTCTAGTTCTCTATGTGAGCTGCTGCCACAGCATGGCAACTGACAGACAGGTGGTATGGTTCTGAAACCACAAAACAAACCCCGGGGTGAAAGCGAGGAACTTGAACCACTAGGCCATCAGGGCTGGCTCAGCTTTTAAGTTTTTTGCCTCGTTTGTTTCTTTTTCTAAAAGCTAGGCTATGGGGGCAAAACAGCTCCAACATTATGGAGTGGTTTCTCTCAAGGGTCAAGTCAGTTTACTCTGTTGATGGTTACAAGCTGTACCTCCAATAGGCGAGATCCTGTTACGTGAAGGGGAGAAGATTGAGGCAAATGAGTTGGAGAGGATGTGGTTGGTTCAGCACCAATCCATTTCCACTGCCGAGCAAACAAGGAAGTGGCTGTCCTTGTGGGTGGGGCAAGAAGGGTCACATTCAGAAATCTTTGTGGGCGAATGGATGTGTCTAATGAAAAAGTATGACTTAAATCCCTTTCCACAAATTTCCACAACCATTCTTCACGTCAGAGTTTTCACAAATTCAGCCAGGCTATAATCCCAACCAATTTTCATACTGAAGTTTGCTTCATGTAGCACATGTGAATCTTCCTTGGCCATAAATGCAAATAAAAAGGTTCAGGACTCTGAATCAATCTACAGTTTCTTCTTAAAAGAATGATACTGTTTTTGCCTGGATATACTACTTACAAGTAAATAAAATGATACATAGGGTTTTTCAGCTTTGTTTTTGTTTTTACAAAATAAGATGGTTGTATATTTTCTTTAATCACTACTTTCAATCATACTCTTTCAAGTCTCCCTTCCCCCACACTTAGTGATATCTTGGGCAGATTCTAGAGCTTTCGGCACTTCAGGTTTTAAAAAGTTCACTCCAGGGGGCCAGCCCAGTGGCTTAGGGTTAAGTTCGTGCACTCCGCTTCGGCAGCCCGGAGTTTGTAGGTTCGGATCCTGGATGCGGATCTATGCACCACTTCTCAAGCCATGCTGTGGCAGGCGTCCTACGTATAAAGTAGAGGAAGATGGGCACGGATGTTAGCCCAGGGCCAGTGTTCCTCAGCAAAAAGAGGAGGATTGGCAACAGATGTTAGCTCAGGCTAATATTCCTCACCAAAAAAAAAAGTTCACTCCAGTCACATTCTGTTTAAATCTTCAATCTCCTGTCCAATGCCAAATCCACTCCCACCCTTGGTTCTGGCGTTTTCCATGGCTCACAGGATCTCCTCACACTCCGGGGCTCTGGCTTCTCCAGAGTCCAGATGGGAGGGAAGAGGGATTAGGACAAAATGGTGTATGTAAGCTGTTTTATTTAATTGGTGCAGATATAATCTTCTCATGGTTGTTGATGCCCGCTGTGCGGCAGGTGTCCAGATGTCGGTTCTTTCATGGTGCTTTTGCGCAAATCTTTTGGACAACCCAAAAGTTTCCTAGCTAGCTGATCTCTAATCTCTCCCCTCAGCCCCTGCACCTGGTTGTACACATCACACTTATTATTTCTGAGGTCCCTCTAGCTAGACAGCCGCCCTCTTGGGCAGGGTACCAGCAGGATAGCTCAAACCCAGCTACTATTCCTGGTTTCTGCTTGAGCCCTTGGGACATGCACACAACTCTGATTGCTCCAGCAAGCTTTGTATTTCAAAATTACCCAAGCAAGAAGCAAGGACTGGTCTCTATCTTCATGTCTGTTCTCAAACTTCTGAGGAAATATAGCTGGTTTTCCCCAGAACTCTCTCACCAAGCTCTGCAACAACGGGAGTGCCCGGGTGGGCCCGTGCATCCCTGCATCTTAGCAAGCTCAGGTGAGATGTCCGCCTTCCCTTCTTGCAGGCACACTCAGCCTCCATCGGAGGTTCTCTGGAGCCCACTCATTTGGCTTCAGGGGAGGGAAGACACTGCACTCCAGTGGTCCTCTAACCCCTGCACTTGGGTTCATATAAGCTGAAGGAGGTAGGACAGTATCAGCCACTGAATGTGTCCTGCCACCTCTTAGCTGGTCGTTCAGATACAGGGATTATACACTCTTATTCTCAGCTTTGGGGCTGTAGCCTCACTTCTGAGACAACATGAGATGTCCCTTTAATCTCCCATCACTCAAATAGCGTTGCAGTTGATATTCTTGCACACATATCTTTGTGAGCTTTTGAGAGTATGTCCAAAGAGTAAATTCCAGCATGGGATTTTGTATTTTAATAGATATTTCCAAATTGTTCCCCAGAAAGGTTGCATCAACTTGCACTTGCACCTGTAGTGCAGGAGCACATCTATTTCCCTACATCCTCACCAGCACCTGTTACATATGTCTCAACCTTTAAAAAAAAAAAAAAACTTTATTGAGGAATAATTGACAAATATAATTGTATATATTTGAAGTGTACAACATGATAATTCGATATACATAGACATTGTAGAATGATTATCAAGATAAAGATAATCCTATTTTCTCAACCTTAAACAGGGACCAGAGCTTGGATCGGAGAAACCAAATCAGTTGGTCAAAAGGCAAGATGAATGCGCTATTCTAGACATTTCAAAGCGCCTAGTACCAGGCTTCTGGAGGTAGGGTATGGGGAGAAGGAGGGAGGGAGGAAGGGGGAAGAGGGTAGCTCTCACTTGAACACAGCACTCCAGTGGTCTTCTGACTCCTGGATTTAACTCTAATTGCCTTATGGGCAGGACGAGACCAGAGCACTGGGTCACAGACGGTGAAATTGGGCTCTTGTGAGTGAGGTAGTGTAAAGCTGCCGACTGTGGTGAAACTGGAGCCTCCTAATCTTACCTTCAGTGATGACATTAACTTCAGAGATGCTGTGACACATACGAGAGCAGAATGTTGTTTCTGCACTGCTGTTCTCACCCACCCAGAGAGAGGCACCCTTTGAACAGAATGTGTGTGCAGAATCGGTTGGACATGGATCTGTGACATCCTCTAAGCCCCTGGGCAACCCCCTTTCTCTATAAGGGCTCATTCATGGAATCTTGTCCTGTGTCTTCACCAAATAACAATGTGCCAATTCCCCAGGGCCCCCTTTCCAACCAGCACCGGCAGTACCTGCAAGGGGGCTTGTGTTTCTCCGCTCCAAGTGCATTTATTTTTTCTCGGGGGGAGAGTTTCCTTTTTTATTCAAGTCCCTGGAAGGGGCCGTTAGGATATACTTGAACTTCCAGCTAGTCAGACGAAGCACTATGATATTGATTGTGTATTCAAGACTAACAGCCATGGAACTTGGGGCACATTTTCTCTGTCACTACCTTTGTTAACAAAGGCTGGCATGAGAGTTGACGACGACAGGGAATACCACTCACACAGGTAGGTGGATCCCAGTTCATAAACGTGAGGGCTCCGAATAGCATCCTGGGCTGGTGGAGACAGTGCTGTTCTGGGAGTCAGGATGCCACAGTCTGGATCTGGTTTCACCAATGATGTGTCTGTGTTTATCTCAGGTGAGGGATGTCACTTCCCTCAGGCCTGGTGGTGTCACCTATTAGGGGAAATCTCAATAACTTAATATAGAGACATAACAGAGGAGCTATAAGAATAAAACAAAATAAGGGAAAGTATTTTGAAAAAAGTGCACAATAATAATATAATTATTATATATTAACATATACACAATTTAATTATTGATATAATAATTATAAATATAATTATTACTGTTATTAA